AATCCCAATACATAAAAATAAAATTTTAGGATGTTACAACTATGACTTGACTCACCTAGGCCTTTGCCATGAGATAATTGATGCCACCCAGCAAACATCAAGCTTCTTAAAGAACCTATTTAACAACTTAAGTTGATTTCTCAAGTTTTGTCACTTAAACTAGGAAGTCTAGTACTACTATCAAGGTAAAATAACTTGGTTATAAGTCTACCACGACATTAACTTGTAACACTAAGTCATCTATGAGATTAGCCCCCAACTATCCTCCAAATACTATGCCTCCCAATACTCGGTTAAGGATTAAGTTTTTGACTTTGTATTATTACTCGGTTGGTCATTTTATACACATATATCTTGACCTTATCCATATACGGATATCACATAAAATCTAAAGAGAACTTAAAAAAACTACTCATTTAGAAGGAGTTTTTTGAGCACCACAAAGTATATCTACATATTGAGATATTTAGTTTTCTAAAATAACTTTTACTCTCATTTATTGTTTATGTATATCAACAAAGGCATGCATCTTCACCACATGTCTAACATCTTAACAACTTAAGGTAAAACAACTTGGTTATGAGTTTATCACGACATTAGCTTGTAACCATAGTTTTAAAAACCAGACTGGTCATCAAACCAGTTAGGATACTGGGTCAGTGGGTCAAAGGTTGAACCGGTAGGTCACTAATTGAATCGCATGACCCAGTTTTTATTATTATTTTTTTAAAAAAATTCATGTTAAATATATTTTATACGTATAAATTCATATCCTATTTTAAATTTCAATTTCCATCTTATTTAAAATTATCTTTATTTTTATTTTGTATAAAGAAATACATAAAAATTTACATGTTAAACTGTATATTAATACAAATTAAAAATATAAATTATATATACATATATAATATGCTTGTAATTGATATCACAAAATAATATATGTAATATCTACATAGATATTATATTATTAAATATATAATTTAAAATTAATAATATACTATAAAAGTTATTTAAGTTGAATATATTACAAATAAATATATTAGAATAAGTAGTCATTGTTATGTTTAATAAGACTCTTTGTTCTTCCATTAAAAGATTGAATTCTCATTATTATTTTTGTGGTTATGGTCCCTAAAAAAAATATTAAAAAAATTGTGGTTGAACCGGTTTGACCCACCGGTTCACTAGTCAGACCGAAAAATTGACCGGTTCAGTCCTGTTTGAAACAGGTCAAATGCATAACTGATCTAACTTAAGGTTCGGACCGGCTGGACCACCGGTTTCCAGTTCAACTAGTCCGATCCGGTTTTTAAAACTATACTTGTAACACTAAGTCACCTATGAGATTAACCCCTAACTACCTTTCAAATATTATGCCTTCCAATACTCGATTAGGAATTAAGTTCCTGACTTTGTACTTTACTTGGTTGGTCGTTTTATACACGTATATCTTGACCTTATCCACATATGGATATCACATAAAATATAGAAGAGAGAACTTAAAACAACTACTCATTTAGAAGTCAACTTATTTATTGAAGGGTTTCAACTTGGGTTTTTTGAGCACCACAAAGTATATCCACATGTTGAGATATTTAGTTTTCTAAAATAACTTTTACTCTCTTCTAGTGTTTATGTATATCAACAAAGGCATGCATCTTCACCACATGTCTAACATCTTAACAACTTAAAACAACACACTACTTTACAACTCAATCATCTATCATCTCACAATTTAATGGTATAAATATCATTAATCATGAACTTATAACTTATAGATTCATCATCATGCATCATCATCTACACAACTCATTCATCATCATTCAACTATAAGACAACTTAAAACATGTTTTCATCATGCAACTTGTGCCCAGTGCCACTCATAGGACGCTCGACACCATTGAAATAAAGGCTCCTTGTTTCACCCATGCCTGACACCAAATTATTCGTACTTGGCTTAGTTGAGGCAAAAAATTTCTCACTCAGGCATTTGACATGGCTAAAGCCCACCATTATTCTCATAATAAATTGTAAATTTGAGTTACTACACTTGTCTCTTTTTAAAAGATTTCTCAAAACTTTATCCTCGATTTTTTTTTTCTAAAAATACTTTCATATAAAATAATTGCTCATATTTTATATGTAAGAGTTAATTTCAAAACTAATATAACTAACATCTTCCAATTTCAGGATTAAAGTTACTGATTAATCTCATAATAAATTGCAATTTTAGTTACCACACTTGTCTCTTTTGATTTAGGTTTCTGTCTTTACCTTGAATTGGAAAAATCTTCTCTAACCTTAAAACTTCTGTCATTAAAGATTTGGCGAGACTGTTTGTAATTACGACAGTAAAACAAAAACTGTAGAGAAAAATTGTTTATGACAAATGAAAATTGAAACACTTTAATAAAAGCTTTTAGGTTCATCCACAATTAATTGTCTTGTATTTGTGTATGGATTTTATTTGATATTTTACTATTTTATCTTTATGTTACATCTCCTTACTCCACAAAGTAACTCGTGATTTAAATAGCACAAGAGTTTTGCTACTTAATGAATTGATTTCGGTAAGACACCATTTAATACTTTTTTTTTTTAATATTACTCGTATGTGTCTATGGTGTACTAATTAATTACACATCCTTAAATAATTTTGTACATGTTACAATTATTCAATTGCCAAATTGGGTGCTATGGGCAATCCTTGACAGATAAACCAGCCGTGGTATAAGCCAAACCACTATGCACAAGAATCTACAACCTATGTTTTCACAGCCATTTTCCTTTTTTAAAAAATAAAAAATAGGTTTCTCAACTTGTGTAATCCACTGGTTTGGATGAGTTGAGTCTAGTTGATTTTTCTTCTTAAAACATATTTGGATAAACTTATTAAAATATACAAAATTATTTTTTTATAAATTAAAATTAATTTTTTGTATATAAAAAAATTAAAGAAATTAATATAAAAGAACTTTTACACATTAGTTTATGTTCTGAAAAAAAATATTTTATTTTTTATTTCTTATAAATATTTATTAAAAAAATTATCCAAAAAAATTATACTATTAAAACGAGCCAAACTGTTGTGCAGAGTCCGAACTTAGTTTTGGATATTGAATAAATTATGTTAAAAAATACAATCTTCATTTTATATACACTTATAATTCTAATAAAAATCATACTCATACAATATTTGTAACAGGGAATAGTTGTTACCTTTATAATGGTTTAAGAAATAAACAACGAAACTAGATTGAGTTATTTGGAGGTGAATATATGATGAAGTGAAGATCAAGTTGGATTAAACAAATAGTGAGTCATGCATTTTGGCAAGTTGGAAACCAGAGTGTTGTGAAGGAGCGACTTAAGCCACAAAGTCAACACATGCATAGTTCATGTATCACACGCGAGATGGAATCGGAAACACGTAAATGCCGTTGAACCATTATCATTAATAAATGCTACCCATATCTCTCTTTTAACACTTTTTTTTAAAGTACTTTCTATTATTAGTTAAAAATTATAAATTTTGATGGATTATATCATTAAATTAAAAAAAATTTAATAAAATGCGAGACAAGATATATATATTTTTTATTTTAATTAATAATAAAAGTATTAAAAAGAATGTTACTAATATTTTTTATATTATTCCTGACTTTTGGAGAAAATGTTTTTAGTTTCTCAAATTTAGAGTAAATCTATTTTTGGTCTCTCAAATTTAAAAATTATTATTTTTAATTTCTGTAATTTCAAAAAATATTATTTTAGTTCTTATATTCAAATTTTGTTAAAAAATTTATCAAATATTATTTTATAAAATCTATCTATTGGTGTCCCTATTAGTAAATATATCACATTAAATCTAGTTGATATTACATAACTGTCGTAATTAATCACTTTCAAATATGTTATTGATGACCTGAGGGACTAAAACAAGATTTTTGAAAATTATAAAGACTAAAAATAATAATTTTTAATTTAAGAGACTAAAAATAAATTTATCTTAAATTTGAGAGACTAAAAACATATTTAAACTTATTTTTTTTATTATAATCCAAAAGAAATGTATTAGAATATATTAGCATATGATACAACCATGGTTCGATACTGAGTGACCAAACTAATAGCAATGGGTCAGATCCAAATACGAGGCCCATGATTAATAGAAATGGGTCATATCTATAAATTCAGGCCCATGCAATTTCTCTCTCTAAATGACAGGTTGGCATCTCAATCCGACACGTCGTTTCTGATATCGTTTCTTTTGGTCATGCGTTTTCGCTTTCCCAATTCTTTCCCATCTTTTCGTTAAGAATAAAAACTACTTGACTTCGTTACAACCACATCAACGCATTGCCCCACTTTGATTTCCTTGTTAACCTTGAACCTTAAACCTTAAACGAATTAACCTTAAATTCACCATGACCCAATCTAAGTCTAACAACCAAACGACAAATTCTCCGTCAGGTACGAATACGATCACTTTTGTATCAATCGATTACATCCAATCATCTTCCCCACCATTTGTGCAATTAAATTGAAACTTTGATTTACAAATTTTTTTTTTCACATTTTCCCATTTGTGTTTATTTTTGTTGTAACATGTAACCTTATAGCGTGCTAATTACGTATGGATCTTATTGTTGTTGGGCTATAGAGATTGAATTTTAATTATCTGGTATTAAATTTGAATATTAGCATAAAATTCGGAATACATGTCCTTTTTTTATATGTGTGTCTTAGGACAAAAAGAGGATAATAAAAAGTGATTTTCAATTTTTCAATGGAGTCTTTTGTCACTGTGTGTGAAGTTATGGAAAAACCACGAGGAGTATGTGATGTTTGCGATTTTTTCTGCATTTTTATCAGTTAAAGAAGAAAGAGCAAAGCAAGAATATGAGGGTATAATGGATCCTCAGAAATGCTATCATAACAGGGAAACTCATGGTCTGCATAGTGGCATCGATGAGAACTCTTCAATGGATGATGTTAGGGCTCCAAATGTGTTTGAGCGTGCAAAGGAGGAGATTCAAGCCCTTGTTCAAGTGTTACATCACAAGAAAAATGATCCAACTTGTGATATAAGGTTGAAATCATATTCATACACTTCTTTTGAAAAAGAGATAAATAAAATTGAAAATTGACTGTAGAAAGGAGACATTACTGTTGAAACACTCTGATTTTGTTTGTTTTAATTGTGATATAGGGACGAAAATCAAATGGATCAGTCATCAAAACATAAAGAAGAAGCCCCAAACTCTCCATCAGGTATATATTAATGAAGGGGAAAGATAAATTTTCTTATTCATTTGGGGTTTGTGTACATAATATTAATTGTGAACATGATGATACCCATGAGTCTCATTGTTATTGCTTGAGGGCATGTTTGGTTAAATTTCTCCGGAAGTACTTTTAGGATAAAAAATTAGGAATGAAAGGTGAAATAAACATCTCCTTAAACTAAAATTAACTTATAGAGAAGTTAAAACTTAGATTTTGGAGAAGTTAATAGGAGAAAACTTCTACAAATTAGTTTATGTACAAGTTAATTTTAAATTATGGAGAAACTTATTTTATTTTTTCTTCCTAATTTTCCCTTGTAGAAGAAGTACTTCTGAAGAAGTTTATCCAAACATTTCCTTAATCATGTTGAATGACTACATAAATGTTATTATAGAAACACATTAGGCCTGTGAAACACTCATTGCTATTGTTCCAATCCTAATTTGGGTGTCTTGCTCTTGTCTTTCTATAGAATTATAAGAAAATTATTCCATTTTACATATCCTTTGATTGGGAAAATCAATGACATTAGAGCCATTATAAAATAACCAAAGGCTTCTTTCAACATGGTGTGTTGGTTCGATATATATGCTAGCTCAGGGCCAATAATTTTTGCTGACTTGATATATATGAGGCACTTTTCAGTGGCAGAAATGAAAACAAAGGCAGCAAGCATACTTCGGAAAGCTAAGAAAGAGATTAAAAGCATCATACACCATGATAAGTCTGAACACCATCATCATAAAGAAACTCATGGAAGGAATGATGATATTAATGAGAGCACCCCTACCAATGAAGTTAAGGGCCCCAATGTATATGAAAGAGTAAAAGAAGAATTTGAAGCTGTTTTCCAAGCTATACATCCTAAGAATAAGAAGGAAACCTGACAATTTTCCTGCCTTACCATATGTTGAATCCAGTTTGATTAGGAGGATTATGTGCCTATGATGTAAACTGTAAACATATGCTTATGTATATTTTTTTAATTTTGCATTGTTTCAGTACAGTGGTACCTCCTTTTAGAAAGAAAACTGAAAACTTAATATTAATAAATTAACGGTTAATGTTATATCACTTATATGTGTTAAAAATGGTTTTATATATATATATATATATACACGTCTGAAAATAAAAAATGATAATCACAATAAAAATGTAATAATATAAGTGATGACAATAATTTGAAGATGTTGAGTCCAGTGAATTATCATCAAAATTCTCAACCTTCTTGCCAAGTCGAGTGATGGAGGATTGGTCTGGTTAGTTGTTCAATTTTGGACCATTATTAGTCTATTTAGATACAAATTATAAGTGTTTTTGAGAGTTTTGTCATTGAAAAAAAAGTTCTTTATTTTCAATAGAAAATCTTTTAAAAGTACTTTTAAATTTGTATTCAAACAAGTTTTTTAACTAAGTGGTTTCGTAAATACTATGTTAGATGTCAAGACACGGACTACATTAATGATGACTTTTCTCAAATGAAAGTGGCCTAGTTTTGATCCCCAAAGAGATTTACTCATAAAATATATGTTGCCCGTTCACCATTTCCATGACAATGTTGAGCTAGGAGCAACTTCTGCAATAGAGGTAAAGGTAGGTACAGAGCTGCCCTTAGTTTTAAAGAGTTGTGCTTTCAATGGAGTTTGATATGAATTGGGATAGTGCAGTCATTCTCCTTGTTAGTTGTTGTAATGATTTGACATTTATGGTCCCAATTCCTCTTTATGTTCACATGAAGTAGTTGATGGTGAAAATTTGTTGAGAATCAAAATAAAGTTCAAGAATCTTGAAATCGGTAACTTCTTATTATCCTTAATTTTTTTTTTATATATATTTTTGTAATTTAATTTTTGGAGTTAAAAATTTGTTTATAATCCATGAAATTTTATAAAATGTTTGTAATATATATGAATAACGATACAAAATAATAATCTAATATAATTGTTCAGTTGCGCAGATGTTAAAAATATTTTGTGAAATTTTACGAATTGTAAATGAATTTTATCCATAGACTAAATTACAACTATATAAAATGATGAAGGACTTAATTGCAATATTTTTTAATTTAGAGACTTAATTGAAAATTTTCAAAAAAGTTAAGGATCAAATAGTATATTCAAAGTATTTTCAATGCATTAATTTTAATTTTAATTTTTAAAGTTAAATGAAAATATTGAATATAAATAATAATTATTATTATAATAATATAATAGAAAGGAGAAGGAGTCATATAATTATATTTTTTTTCAAGAAAACATGCCGTCATTTAAGAATTTGTTGAGCTCTTCTTCTTAGAATAGTGGATTAAGCCTAACTCAACCCTACAAAACCGGCTTGTAAGGTGAGGGTTGCTCTCCACTTATATACTATTTAATTGCCTAATCTCTAGTCGATGTGGGACTTGGGTTTTTCCCAATACACCCCCCTCACGTCCAGCACTATTGGGCTTGGTACGTGGATAAATGGTAGGTGGCCCTTTTTAATGATCTAAGATTTGCGGGACTTGGGTTTTTCCCAATAGTTTTGAAGATGACTGTAAAAGTTTTTTGAAATTGAGTTAAAAACCATTTTAGCTCCAGTTTTGCCAAACATGTTTTCTCTTCAAAATTAAATTTGAAAACCAAAAACTTGCAACCATCCCAATTGGGGCCTAAGATTTTGAAAATTTCAAACTACTTTATTTGGTTTTACATGTGATACAAGTAAAGTTTTCAAAATTTGAGCTATGTTGCTGCATTAGATTCACAAGACTACGGAGGGAATTTTGGTTTTCATGGAATTTTGGTCTTGAATGGTAAATAAATTATGGCATTTCCCTTTACTTGCTACTTACTGATCGGACCTGATTCTAATCGAAACCAATTCCCTGATCAATGCTATTTGCAAGTTCATTTTTAGAGGCATATTTCCTTTATACTATTGGTTTTTGATTCCATTTGTTTGCATTATGACTTATCAGGAAGTTAGTGTTTGGCCTAGCTGATTGATTCTATTTTATTTTCTTCATTTTTATAGAGACATTTTTTAGCTTTATATTTCTAGGCTTTTGGGGCTAGCTATATCAGTTTTCTTCTCTGTTTACTAGTTTAACTTATCTTGCTGTGTCTGTGTCTTGTTCTCAAACAAAATTTCCTTTTATAAATAGGAGAATTTTAAGGGGGTTGTGAGAGCGAGATGCTAAATCCAGCACTTTTAACTTATATTTTTAATTTGAAAATTTTAATTAGAATAGTGGATTAAGCCTAACTCAACCCTACAAAACCGGCTTGTAAGGTGAGGGTTGCTCTCCACTTATATACTATTTAATTGCCTAATCTCTAGTCGATGTGGGACTTGGGTTTTTCCCAATACACCCCCCTCACGTCCAGCACTATTGGGCTTGGTACGTGGATAAATGGTAGGTGGCCCTTTTTAATGATCTAGGATTGGCGGGACTTGAATACACCCCCTCATGTCCATGGTGCATGTAGCAATGAATGGTAGGTGGCCCTTTTCTAATTGACGGGACTTGAAATACACCTCCTCGTGCCCATGGTGCATGTATCAATGAATGGTGGGTGGCCCATTTTTAAAGTGGATCTAAATGGCTTTGATACCATCTTAGAATAGTGGATTAAGCCTAACTCAACCCTACAAAACCGGCTTGTAAGGTGAGGGTTGCTCTCCACTTATATACTATTTAATTGCCTAATCTCTAGTCGATGTGGGACTTGGGTTTTTCCCAATACTTCTTACAAATTTGAGAGGAGTCATATGGTAATGTAGATATGTGAATTGAGTATGTACAAAGTTGAATACATTTGAAATGGCCTTGTGATTAAGGTCTCGGATACGGCTTGTCTTTTTACAGTGTTTAGGCCTATCTCAATGTTGGTTTGTCCAAAATCTCTTGTTTGAGGGGCTTCAATAAGTGGACGTTGACAAAAAATCTTTGAGAATTAACGATACATTATAAGAAAATTGTTATAAAAAATTATTATACAGTGACACATATTTTATAATAATATAATATGTCTCAATAAAATTACTTTTATCCATAAAATAAATACGATATGTGTTAATATATTATTAAAAAATATGAGTATAAATTACAGTAATATATAAAATATCGTTAAATTAAATTTAAAATCAACATTAAAATTTTGTAATTACATCAAATAGATATATATATCTACAAATATTATATCTATAGTGACATTTTTTGTATATTACCATAAGTAACATTTCTTGTTGTGATAGTAATCTTTGGTTGTTAGTTAGTTTCCCTTAAAATTGTCAAGTATTATTGTTTTTGTGACTATATATGTAACATTTCTTGTCTCGTATGTTTTATATCACCTTGATTGCTCTTTCCCTCTCTCTTATCTCCTATATTCTCTCTTACCTCTCTCTCTTCCCTATTCTTTCTTTCTCTTTTCTTCTTCCCCTCTCTCTCTCTCCATCTCTCTAACTTTTATCTCTTCCTTTTCCCTCTTCTATTTCTTTTTTCTCTCTCACTTCTCTACCTTTCTCTCTATCTCTCCCACTTTATTTTCTCTCTCCTATCTCTCTCATTCTCTCATCTCTTTATGTCTTCCTTCTCTCTTATATCTCTCCTCTCTTTCAATGTTAACATAAAAAATATCAATTATTTTTGAATGAGGATGGATTTGTATACTTTAAGAGTAAGTCTATCTAGATTTACTCTATTCAATAACTCATGTTCTAGGTTAAATTCCAACGCTCCAACGATTGAATTTAAATTTTTTAATGCATAAATCAGGTTTGTAAATTTTTAGAAAATTTGAAAATCATTTGATATCTCATTTCATTGCAAATTTGATCTATGCGTTGTCCAATTTTTTATTATTTAATAATTTAAAATAATTTTTTCCCCTAAAAAAAATAATTTAAAATAATTTTAATAATAGATAATATTTAGTAAGTTAAAAAATATTTTTGAATATGCGATAATTAAAAAAGGGGAAGGATCCGTTTACTCCAGGAATAAGTCTACCTAGATTTACTCTCTTCAATAACTCATGTTCTACATCAAATTTTAACGACTGTTGAATTTAAAGTTCTTAATGTATAGATCAAACTGCAAATTTTAAAAAAATTTGAAAATTATTTTATACTTCGTTTCATTAATTTTAATCAATGTTAAAATGATTTTATGATTATCCGTCAATTTGAATTAATGAAATGAAGTATCAAATGATTTTCAAATTTTTTTAAAATTTGTAAACTCGATTTATACATTAAGAATTTCAAATTCAACGGTTAAATCGTTAAAATTTGATGTAGAACATGAGTTATTGAACGGAGTAAGTCTAAATAGACTTACTCTTGAAATAAACGGATCCCTCCTCATATTCATATATATATATATATATATATATATTGAAAAATTACTGTGAAATATTGTAACAGAACATATCTAATATCTAATGTTTTTAGCTAACTCATCCTCTCTTATAAGGTAAATTTTGTGGGATTTCCTAAACTTTCATCAATTTTTTACTTTTAGTTCTTGAACAAATTTTATTTGATTTTAGTTTATGAAATTTTCTTCATGAATAATTAATGAATTTTGATGTTATGGACTAAAATTTTGATTAAAATTTAATGTAGAAAATGAGTTATTAAGTAGAATGAGTGAATTTTTCCCCTCTCTCCCTCTATATATATATATATATAGAGAGAGAGAGAGAGAGAAAGAGAGAGAGTCAGAATCTCATGACACTAGCTAGTTGCAAGTTTAAAAACTTACACCAAATCTCATACTTTCAAAAAAATTTCATAGTAAATTTAACTAATCTAACATTTAAATTAAGTGATATTATACTTAAGATTATCTATATCAAATTTTACATAATTTAAATTTTTTAAAATATATTATTTATAAGTAGATATTTATAATTATTTTAAATATTTTATTATACATTAAAATAAAGTAATATAATAAACTATTAAATAATGAGTTGCTTAAAATTTGATAGTATGTGTAACTT